TCACATGTTAGGCCACAAAACAAGCCTTAACAAATTTAACAAGTATTATTACTGACCATAATGGGGTGAAACTAGATAAATAGCAGAAGGAAAACTGGAATATTCACATTTACAACTATAAAGAAATTAAACAGCACAATCTTGAACAATCATTGGGTCAAAGTAGAAATAAAAAAGGAAATTAAGAACAATTTGAGACAAAAATGAAAACATAATATACCAGAATTAATGGAATATAGCAAAAGCAGTATGAAGAGGGAAATTTATTGTGATAAATGTTTATGTTTAAAAAAGAATAAAGATTCTCAAATAGCTCTTTCCCTAAGCGGCCTGAGGTAATCTGTGAAAATGGTTCGCTATTCACTTGACCTGGAGAACCCCACGAAATCATGCAAATCAAGAGGTTCCAATCTTCGTGTTCACTTTAAGAACACTCGTGAAACTGCCCAGGCCATCAAGGGTATGCATATTCGAAAAGCCACGAAGTATCTGAAAGATGTCACTTTACAGAAACAGTGCGTACCATTCCGACGTTACAATGGTGGAGTTGGCAGGTGTGCCCAGGCCAAGCAGTGGGGCTGGACACAAGGTCGGTGGCCCAAGAAGAGTGCTGAATTTTTGCTGCACATGCTTAAAAATGCAGAGAGTAATGCTGAACTTCAGGGTTTAGATGTAGATTCTCTGGTCATCGAGCATATCCAAGTGAACAAAGCACCTAAGATGCACCGACGAACCTACAGAGCTCATGGTCACATTAACCCATACATGAGCTCTCCCTGCCACATTGAGATGATCCTTACTGAAAAGGAACAGATTGTTCCTAAACCAGAAGAGGAAGTTGCCCAGAAGAAAAAGATATCCCAGAAGAAACTGAAGAAACAAAAACTTATGGCACGGGAGTAAATTCAGCATTAAAATAAATGTAATTAAAAGGAAAAAAAAAAAAAAAAAGATTCTCAAATAAATGACCTAACTTTATACCTCGAGGAGATAGAAAAGAACAAACTAAGCCTAAAATTAGCAGAAGAAAGGAAAAACAAAGATTAAAGCAGAAATAAAATAGAAAATAGAAAAACAATAGAAAAAAATCAGTGAAACTAAGAATTAGTTTTTTGAAAAGCCAAAATTGACAAACTCTTAGCTAAATTAATTATGAAAAATGGAGAAGACTCAAATAAAATAAAAAATGAAAGAGGAAACTTTATAGCTGATACTACAGAAATAAAAAGAATCATAAGAGACTATTATGAACAGTTGTATAACAACAATCTAAATAATCTGCATGAAACAGATAAACTCCTAGAAACATACAAATTACCAAGACTAAATTTTGGATAAATAGAAAGTTTGAACAGGCCTATAACTATTATGGAGATTTAATCAGTAATTGAAAATCTCCCAACAAAGAAAGCCCAGGATTAGATGGCTTCATTGATGAATTCTATCCAACGTTTAAAGAATAATTAATGCCAATCATTCTCAAACTCAAATAGAAGAGGAGCGAACTTTCAATTCATTTTAGGAGACTCACATTAACCTGATACCAAAGATTTAGACAAAGATACCACAAGAAAAGGAAGCCACAGGCTAATATCCTTCATGAACATAGATACAAAAATTCTCAAGAAAATACTAGAAAACTAAATGTAAAAACATTAAAAAGATTGTCCATCATGACTAGGTGGGATTTATCCCTGGGATGCAAGGATGGTTCAACATATGCAAATCAATTAATGTGATAAGCCATACAAACAGAATAAAGGATAAAAATCCATGATCCTCTCAATAGAGAAAGAGCACTTGACAAAATTCAACATCCTTTCCTCAACAAACTAAGAATAGAAGGAAAGCACTTCAACATAATACAGGCCATATATGAAAAGCCCACAGCTAATAACATACTTAATGGTAAAAAACTGAAGGCTTTTACCCTAAGATCAGGAACAAGGCAAGGATGCTCACCTTGCCACTTCTATTCAACATAATACTGGAAGTCCAAGCCAGAGCAATTAGGCAAAAGAACAAATGAAAAGGCATGTAAACTGGAAATGAAGGAGTAAAATTGTCCCTGTTTCTAGAGGACATAATCTTATATATGTATATAGAAAACCCTATGGACTCCATTAAAAAAAAAAACTGCGAGAACTAATAAATAAACTTACAAAGTTACAGGTTACAAAATCTGCATACAAAAATCCATTGTGTTTCTATATACTAATAATGAGCTATCTGAAAAGGTGATTGGGAAAATATCCCATTTACAATAGCACCAGAAAGAATAAAATAGGAATAAACCTAACTAAGACTTGTATAATGAAAACTATAAAACATTGATAAAAGAAATTAAAGAAGACTGAAATAAATGGAAAGACATCCCCTGTTGGTGGGTCAGAAGACTTAATATTGTTAATATTGTTAAAATGCCCATACTACTCAAAGTGATCTACACATTCAATACAAACACTATCAAAATCCCAATGGCACCTTTTACAAAAAATAGGAAAAACAGTTCTGTGTTTCATATGGAATCACCAAAGACCATGAATAGCCAAATCAAATCAATCCTGAGAAAAAAAAAAAAAGCTGGAGTCATCACTTTCTCTGATTTCAAATTAATATTACAAAGCTACAGTAATCAAATGAGTATGACACTGACAAAGAGAGAGAGACATCTATACTTACAGGATAGAATACAGGGCCCCAAAATAAGTCCACACATATATGACCAAATAATCTTCAATAAGGGTGCTAAGGATACACAATGGGAAAAGAATACTATATTCAACAAATAATGCTGGGAAACTGGATATCCACGTGCAAAAGAATAAAATTGGATACTGTACAAAAAAAAAATCAACTCAAAATGGGCTAAACACTTAAACATAAGACCTGAAACTACAAAACTTCCAGAAATGTAGGGGAAAAGCTCCATGGCACTGATCTCTGCAAAGATTTCACAGATACAACACCACAAGCATAAGCAACAAACCCAAAAATAAACACATGGACTACATCAAACTAAAAAGCTTCTGTACAACCAAGGAAACAATAGAGTGAAAAAGCGGCCTACAGAATGGAAAAAAATATGCACAAACTATACATCTGATAAGGGGTAGTCTCCAAAATATATAAGGAATTCCTTCAACTTAATAGCAAAAACCCCTATAACCTGATTTTGTTATAAAATGGGCTAAGTACTTGAATAGATATTTCTACAGTAAGACACACTGGTCAACAGGTATGTGATAAAGTGCTCAACATCGTTTATCAGGGAAATGCCAATTAAAATACAATGAGATATCACCTCTTGCCTGTCAGGATGGCTGTCATAAAAAAAAACAAAAGACAAGTGTTAGGGAGCATGTGGAGAAATTGAAACCCTTGTACACTGTGGTGGGAATAGAAAACTTTGCAGCTGCTACTGAGAACAGCACAGAGGTTCCTCAGAAAGTCTAAAAATAGAACTGCCATATGATCCAGCAGTCTTCTGGGTATTTATCCAAAAGAACTGAAATCTAGACATTAGCACTCCCGTTTTTATTGTAGCACTATTCACAACAGCCAATATGTAGAAACAACCTAAATATCTTTTGACAAATGAATGGATAAAGAAAATGCATATCCATACAGTGGCTTCCTATTCAGCTTTAAAAAAGAAGGAAATTCTGCAATATGTTAACAACATGGATAAACAGCGAGGACATTACAGTAAGTGAAATAAGCCAATCACAGAAAGACAAATACTGCATGATTTCACTTTTATGAAGTATCTAAAATGTCAAATTCATAAAATAAAAGTCAAATGGTGGTTTCTAGAGGGTTGTGGAGGAATGGGACTTTCTAATTAAAGGGCAAAATATTTCAGTTAAGCAAGATGAATAAACTCTAGAGATCTGCTCTACAATATTGTATCAAAAATAATAAAATATTGTACAGTAAATAAGATGGTAAATTTCATACTAAGTGTTCTTACCACAATAAAATAAAAAATGAAGAGGTAACATCGACTCCAATGCTGGAAGAAGAAAAGCCACGAAACATATTCTTATCATACTGTCTAGCAACCATGCTCCTTGATATCTACTCAAAGAAGTCAAAGACTTATGTCTACACAAAAACCTGCACATGGATGTATATAGCAACTTTATTTATAATTGGCAAAACTTGGAGGCAACCAAGATGTCCTTCAGTAGGTAAACTGATATATGAACTGTGGTACATTAAGACAATGGAATATTACTGAGTGCAAAAAATAAATGAGCTATTAAGCCATGAAAAGAGATGGAAGAAACTTAAATGTGTATTACTAAGTGAAAGAAGCCAGTGTGAAAAGGCCACATACTGTGTGCTCCTACCTATATGCCATTCTGGAAAAGGCAAAACTATGGAGACAGTGTAAAATATCTGTGGTTTCCAGGGGTTAGTAGGGAGAGACGGTTGAATAGGTGGGTTCTTAGGGTGAATCCATACAGTGAAAATACTCTGTATCATACTATAATAGTGAATACATATATTATACATTTGTCTAAACCTACAGAATTAACACCAAAAGTGAAGCCTAACATATACAGTGGACTTTGGATGATAAAGATGTGTCAGTGTACACTCATGAACTGTAAACAAGTACCACTCTCGTAGGGGATATATGGGAACTCTCTGTACTTCCCATTCCATTTTACTGTGAATCTGAAACTGCTCCAAAAAACCAAAATAAAGTATATTAAAAAGAAAGAGAAAAACAAAAACAATAACCAAACAAAAATCAATTTCATATGTCTTTCACACCTAGTACGCTGTACACAGTCATGTTCATGTTACTTGAAAAAAATAATAAATGAAGTCTTAATGAGGTCTGGCCAAAATAACGGGCATGGGAGAAATTTTCCACCACTTATAGTTGGGATTTTCAGTTGAGAATTGACAATAACATGCTGGTATAATTATGAAGCACATAGTAAAGCAGCACAACAAATTGCATTACTTCAGTAGCCTTGAGTTACCTAGACTCTAGATCCAATGTAATGTGTATCACAGGAGTGTCTGAATCCTCAAAGACTTTTTCCAGTGTTATATGTCTTTCCATTTCTTCTAATTCTTTCAGGCACCGATAATACTAGGGAAAAATAAATACATGAGCTCATTACAAAATAACTTTATTTCCTAATTAAACTATTTGAGTATTTATAGACACCTGGAACAACTGTTACTGGGAAATTAAGTGCCAAACCCCGAACAACACTGTTGGGACATTAAAAGGCAAACACTGCATAGGCCCATAGTCAGCTTATGGTATCTGATAGGCTGGAGTCTGATGCATTACCAAATGTACTTTGCTTACCTTGGTCCGGTCGGGATCACAATAGTCCAAGAGAGAATCACAAAAATGATATCCCATTGATTCCAGGTCTTTTGTGCTGAAATGAGTGCCTCGTTTATTACCTAAAACATCAATAGGTTTATCCACCCTTGAGGGTAAGTTAAGAATTTTTCTTAGCAGGTACATTGCAAAACAGTATAAACAAAACATTGATATGATTCCATATCCTGTTCTTTGGATTTTCTTCTCCAGGGCAGGTTATTTAACAGCTCATTGCTTTCCCTTGTCCCTTTTCCACCATCTGGACCAAAGCTGATTTAACACACATTAGTATATGTTGTAAAGGCAGAAAAAAATTCAGTAAGACAGGTCTAGAATATTTGGTTGCCAGTTAGAAATGGTGGTAATAATCACTTTGAGAAAAACTCGTGTAAAGATTTTATGAGAAAATATTTTCATCATCACAAATAATGTTATATCAATTTCAAAGTGCTTTAAAAACTAGCTGGAAAGTACATATGTGGATTTCTAGAACTTTCCTTTAAGATGATACATTTTTCTGATAATGTGACTATTATTTTAATATGGAGTATTCTAACCATGTTAGGATATGCTAGATGTAACTAAAAGATTTCTTAAATGGGACTACAAAGCACACTTTAAGTTTTTGTTCAGGGAACCAAGTGCTTTCATTTAAACATATATTGACTCCCAAAAGTCCATTTTGCCTTGCAAATAGCAACTCCAATAAAAAATATTTAAAAAAAAATCTGTAGATACCTCCTTAAAAATAACAAGCATTTAAAGATTACCATATGAAACAACCAATTAGAGTATTCTATTTATATGCTTAAATCTTCCTTTCTAAACAAAGGGAAATTAGGAAATAGAGATACCATATTGTGGGAGTTTATTCATCCTGTTTATAGAATTGATTAAATATTAGTATTATTTAAATAGGAAGAAAGTGCTATTGTCTGTACTATAACATTTACATTAAATTATGTATGTTTGGTTTAAAGCTTTGAGAGCTGTGAATGAGAACCCTTGATCTTACCCAGAGTAGATCCACAAAAGGTGGCCTCCATGGTAAAGCTGTTCCTGATTCCCATTTTCCACATGACCACTCTTCCTGTTCCTTCTTTGCTCTTTTGAACATTAAACTTGCAAGCTGAGAATGAAAACTGAAAAGAAGCAAATAGAAATGAGACTTGTTCTGGTACCTATATCTTTTTTGGAAAGTAGTATTAAAAATGAAAGTGGTTATGCAAAGTCTATAATTCTCACTAAAGCTTCAGGAGCTACTTTTCACTTTCTGACCAGTGGAAATATCTCATTTTAAGGATGATGTTCACATGTCTGAGAACTATAGATTCTAATTTCTGCAATAAAATTTACTATTTTTATAGAAAGATATGTATATATCTTTATGTAACATATATTCAAAATCAGTTCCTTTTTAATTTTTGCAGGTACATAGTAGGTTTATATATATAGGGTGTACATGATATATTTTGATAGAGGTATGCAGTGTGTAATAATCACATTGGGTAAATGGGGTATCTATCACCTCAAGCATTTATCCTTTGTGTTACAAACAATCCAATTACACTCTTACTTTTTAAAAAATGTATAATTAAATTATTATTGACTATAGTCACTCTCTTGTACTATCAAATACTAGTTCTTATTAATTTTATTTTTTGTACCCATTAGCCATCCCCACTTCTGCCCTCCCCCATTACCTTTCCTAGCTTATAGTAACCATCCTTCTACTCTCTGTCTCTACAAGTTCAATTGTTTTAATTTTCAGCTCCCACAAATAAGTGAGAGCATGCAAAGTTTGTCTTTCTGTCTCTAGCTTATTTCACTTAACGCAGTGATCTCCAGTTCCATCCATGTTGTTGCAAACGACAGAATCTCATTCTTTTTTATGCCTGAATAGTACCCATTCTGTATATGTACCACATTTTCTTTATCCATTCATCTGCTAATGGAAACTTAGGTTGCTTCCAAAAGTTGACTAATTCTTGATGCTGTTGGGATAAAATTTTATACTTTTAAAAAAGTTATAGGAAGGGATTCAATCTTCATTCATGTTAGGAATGAAGATTAGTGTTGGAGATGTTCAAAAATAAAGATTCTTTATCTTCATATGAAAGATCATTTGAAATTATGTCCTGAAAGATTGTCTACAAAGAAAGTTGTGAGGTACAATTTTATTTTTTCAGTAACATACAATAAAATTGACTTTTTGTGTTTCATTCTATACATCTTTTTGTTTTGGTTTTCGAGACAGGGTCTCTCTCTGTCACCCAGGCTGGAGTGCAGTGGTGCTATCATAGCTCACTGTAGCCTCAAACTCCTGGGCTCAAAGCTATCCTCCTATCTCAGTCTCCTAAACAGCTGAGACCACAAGCACTTACCACCACATGTAGCTAGTTTTGTATTTTTTTCACAGAAATGGGGTGTTGCTATGTTGCCCAGGCTGGTCTCAAATTCCTGGCCTCATGCGGTCCTCCTGCCTTGGTCTTCCAAAGTGCTGGGATTACAGGTATGGGCCACTTTGCCCAGCCTCATTTTATGAATTGTAACACATATATAGATTCCTGTAACCACCATCACACTCAAGATACAGAACAGTTCTATTACCCAAATAGGTTAATTATAGTCACACCCTCCTGCCACCTCTAACCCCTGGCCACCATTGATTTGCTGTCACTATAGATTTGCTTTTTCAAGACTGCTGTATAAATGGAATCATATAGAATGTAATATTTTGAGACTAGCTTCTTTCATTTAGCCTAATACTTTTGAGATTTATCCAAGTTGTTGCATGTATAAATATTCCTTCCGTTTTATTACCAAGTACTATTCCATTGTATGGGTGTACTAAAATGTATATCCATTTACCAGTTAAAGGACATTTTGGGTTGTTTCCAGCTTTTGGCAATTATGATAGAGTTGTTATAAATGTGTGTACAGGTTTATATATGAATGTACATTTTCATTTCTCTAGGGTAAATACCTAGGAATGGGATTGCTGGATGATATAAGTGTACAATTTTCTTTATAAGAAATTGACAAACTACTTTTCAAAGTGATATACCATTTTGCATCTCCAACAAAAACGTACAGTATGAGAGTTCCAGTTATTCCAAATTCTTATTAGAACTTGGGATTGTCAGTATTTTTATTTTAGCAATGCTAACAGGTATGTAACTGTATCTCCTCAGTTACTTTGCAGTTCCCTGAGGGCTACTGATGTCAAACACCTTTTCATGTGCTTATTTGCCTTCACATATCATTTTTTGAAATGTGTGTATTTAAGATTATTTGGTTGGTTGTTTTATTACTACTGAGTGATTCTGGATAAAAGTTCTTTGTGAGATATGTGATTGAAAGTAATTTCTCCTCTCTGGAGCTTATCTTTGTATTTGCTTAACAGGATCTTTCTGAGAGCTAAAGGATGATGTCCAACTTATCAATTCATTACAATCCAATGGATAATGCTTTTGGTATTTTCTAAGGAATGTTTGTCTAATTCCATGTCATAAAAATTTTCTTCTATGTTTTCTTCTAAAGATTTTACAGTTTTACATTTAAGGTTTGAGGGTTAGGTGAAAGTTTTTTGTTTTTTATATGGATGTTCAATTGTTTCAACACTTATTTATTGAAAGGTTTCTTTCTCCATTAAATTTCCTGTGTACCTTTGTCAAAAGGCTGTATGTATATGGGTCTATTACTAGACTTGCTATTCTGTACCACTGCTCTTGGTGTTTACACAGTTCCTATTAACATACTATTTTTATTACTGTAGTTTTATACTGTCATAAAATTTGATAGTGTGATTCCTTCAACTTCATTTTTTAAAAGTGTTTTGCCTATTCTAGTTCCTTTGTATTTCCTTATCCATCTTAGAATCAGCCTGTTTATATCTATAAACAATTATGCTGTGATTTTTGTCTGGAACTCTGTTAAATCTACAGATCAACTTGGGGAGTTGATATCTTACTATGTTTAGTCTTCCAATCCATAATACAACACATGTCTCCATTTCTTTGGGCCTTTGATTTATTTCATCAGCATTTTTAAGGTTTCAGTGTATAGAATCTATACATTTTGTTAGATTTATAACTAAGTATTTATTTTGAAGCTATGATAAAAATGGTATTGTTTTTAACTTTGGTTTCCAATGTTTTCATTGTGAGGATACAGAAATGCAATTGTTTTTTGTGGGTTGATTTTGTATCGTATGACCTTGCTTAAACTCCCTTGTTAGTTCTAGTTTTGTGTGTGTGGGTGGGTGGGTGGGTGGGTGGGTGTGGGTGTGGTGTGTGTGTGTGTGTGGATCACTTTGGATTTTCTGTGTAGATAATTGTGCCACCATCATTACTTCTTTCCAATCTGTCTGCCTTCTCCTTTCTTTTGCCTTTTTGAACTGGTTAGAACCTCCAGTACAACGCCGCATCAATTGAGGAAGAGTGGACTTTCTTGTCTTCTTCCTGACCTTGGGCAGAAAACATTCAGTCTTTCATCAACTATGTTGTTAGCTGTAGAGTTTTTTGTAGATGTCCTTTATCAGGTTAAGGAAGTACACTTTAATTCCTTATTTGCTGAAAGTTTTTTTTTTTCATAACTAGATGCTGAATTGTGTTAAAAACCTTTTTGTATCAATTGATGAGATCACACAGTTTTTCTTCTTTCAACTGTTAACATAGTGGATTACAGTGATTAATTTTCAAATATGAAGCCAGCCTTATATTTTGGGATAAACCCCATCTGGTCATGGTATATTAGTCTTTTTATATATTGCTGGATTTAATATGCTAATATTTTGGTGAGGATTTTTGCATCTATGTTCATGAGGGATATTAGTCTGTAGTTTTCTTTTCCTGTACTATCTTTGTCTTGTGTTGGTATGGTAATCCTGGGAAAGACTGCCTTTAAATTTTTGGTAGAATGCTTCAGTGAATCCAACTGGATCTGGATATTTGTTTTCTGGAGTTTCTTTTTGGAATGCTTTTCAGGACTATTCAGATTATTTCACCTTGGGTGAGTTTTGGTAGTTTGTAGTCTTCAAGGAATGGGTTCATTTCATCTAAGTTGTTAAATTTATGTGCACAGAATTGAATTTCCCCTTATCGTCCTTTTAAAGCCTGCAGAGTCTGTAGTGATACCTCTCTTTCATTCTTGATATTGGTAAGTTGTGCCATCATTGCCTCCCCTTCCTCCTCTTTCTCTTCCTCCTACTTTCTCATCAATCTTGGTAAAGTTTTATCAGTTTTACCAATCTTTTCCAAGCACCAATGTTGCTTAACTGATTTTTTTCATTGTTTCTCATTTTCCAATTTCATTGACCTGCTCATCTTTATTATCTTCTTCCTTCTGCTTGGTTTATTTTATGCTTCTTTTTCTATTCTTAATGTGGAAACTTAGTTTACTAATTCAAGATCTTTGTTCTTTTTTCTTTTTTGAGATGGAGTCTCACTCTGTTGCCCAGGCTGGAGTGCAGTGATACGACCTTGGCTCACGACAACCTCTGCCTCCTGGGCTCAAACAGTTCTCCTGCCTCAGCCTCCCAAGTAGCTGGAATTACAGGCGCACACCACCATGCTTAGCTAATTTTTGTATTTTTGGTAGAGATGAGGTTTCACCATGTTGGCCAAGTTGGTCTTGAACCCCTGACCTCAAGTGATCTGCCCACCTTGGCCTCTCAAAGTGCTGGGATTACAGGCATGAGCCACTGTACCCAGCCTATTCGTTTCTAATATAAGCATTTCTTGCTGTGCATTTTCTTCTAAGTGCTACTATTTAGCTGAATTTCACAAAATTTCATGTTACATATTTTCATTTTCTTTCAGGTCAAACTATATTCTAATGTTCCTTAAGAGTTCCTCTTGGGCCTAAGGATTATTTAGAAATGTGGTTTAATATCTACATGTTTGTAGATTTTCCTCTTTTATTGATTTATTCTAATTCCATTATGCTTAAAAACATACTTGTATGATATTAATTATTTTAAATTTTTTAGTAGTTGTTTTAAACCAGAATGCGATTTACGTTGGTACTGTTCCATGTGCATTTGAATATAATGTGTATTCTGCTGTTTAATAGAGTGTATTATAAATGTCAAATCCAGTGGGTTGATCCTTGCCTAGTGTCTATCTACCAGTTCCAGATTAATGTAAGAAGTATTTAAAATCTCCAACTATAATTGTGGATTTGCACAAAAAGATTCTTTTTTTTTTTTGAGACAGCCTCACTCTGTAGCCCAGACTGGAGTGCAGTGGCGCCATCTTGGCTCACTGCAAACTCCGCCTCCTGGGTTCACATCATTCTCCTGCCTCAGCCTCCTGAGTAGCTGGGACTACAGGTGTCTGCTCCCATGCGCAGCTATTTTTTGTATTTTTAGTAGAGACGGGGTTTCACCATGTTAGCCAGGATGGTCTCGATCTCCTGACCTCGTGTTCTGCCTGCCTCAGCCTCCCAAAGTGCTGGGATTACAGGCTTGAGCCACCGTGCCCGGCCCAAAAATATTTTTGTAAGAAACATTTAACAGAAAACCTAGAAATAAAGGCCTCTGTGTTTTAAGCAACCTTTAGATGATGTGGAAGACCTGTTTAAACTGCAGAATGGTGGTTTGAGTTGTTCAAGAAATTGGTCCATTTCATCTAAGGCACAACAGGTTAGAGATCTAAAACCCTAAGGAGAATGTCAATAGACAAACATTAAAATATCTTAGTAACACAGAATTATTTTATAGGAGTAATGAACTATACCTAAGAGTATTGACAGTATAAATTTACATAGGAATAGCTTCAGCTATGGGGTTGGGTTTTCCCGTCATTCTTTCTGACGAAATGAATCCTCTTTGGGGAACAAGCCTGTTCTTTCTTTAAATAGCTATTTTTATCAGATTATCCTTTCCTTTATATGTCTTTGGGCCCCAATTATCCCCAAAAGACAATTAGTTCTTCTCAGTAAGTCCTTTATAATTGAATTGGTTGGTTGGGAACTTAAAGGAAAGTCTGCAGGAATTTTCTTGGCTATGTTATATCTTTTCCCTAAAGAATGATTAAAATATAATTTTCACATCTTGGTAAATCAGTCTCCAATATTTCCATAGTTTGTGAAAATAATAATATACTTTATGCTTTTCTCATTCTAATTTCTATATAGTTTTAAAATACTGATTATTGGATTAAGTTTTTTCCTGGCAAAATTCTAATAAATACTTTGAAGAAACTGTTACACATTTCTTAAGAATACAGTGTTTAATCTGTATAATTTAGGCACTCAATGACTATTAAAACAATAAACAAGACCCTAAAATTGACTGATAAAGATGACTAATAGAGGAAGCTTTCAAAAGGTAAAAGAGCAGTGGTATTATGGTGGTAGGTTTGGGGCATTTTTGCCTTTTTCCCCCATATTTTCAAATTATTGCTCACTAAGTAGTTCTATGTAGTTGCTTTCTTATTGTCAGTTGTATAAACTGGTCAAACTAACTAAATAACAAAAGCAGTTTGGAACAGTATTATCCATGTGGACCATTCTGCTATCCGACATGGGCAACATTTGGTAAAGGAAGAGTTAATACCTTAAAAGGTGCTTACTTTATCTGGACAATTTTTGCTTAGCATAAGTGGGAAGATTCGTTGCTGTAAGTATAATGTCTTAGATCTGTCACTACCATCACAGCCATACATGAAGATGTTCTCTTTCCTACTATGGCCATGAAGATCACAGTATAAAATAACCTCTCGTTTCTCCATCAGTCTGCCAGGAAGAAAGACAAGTTACTAACTTTTATCTCTGCATTTTTCTTCTATTGGTACAACTATGGATTTATACGTGTAATATCCAAATAAATACAATTTCTTATATCCTAGCTTTCTCTTATCTATATCACATATTATTAATATACAATTTTAAAAATCTACAATAATTTATTAACTATATAAAGATCTGAATGCAGGCCAAGTGCAGTTGCTCATGCCTGTAATCCTGATGCTTTTGGAGACCAATGCAGGCGAATTGCCTGAGGTCAGGGGTTCGAGACCTGCCTGGCCAATGTGGCGAAACCCCCTTTCTACTACAAATACAAAAATTAGCTGAGTGTGGCGGCACATGCCTGTAATCCCAGCTACTCTACAGGCTGAGGCAGGAGAATTGCTTGAACCCAGGAGGTGGAGGTTGCAGTGAGCCGAGACAGCCTTACTGCACTCCAGCCTGGGCAACAGAGTGAGACTCCGTCTAAAAAAAAAAAAAAGTCTGAATGCAGTAGCTTTCCATTATAAGGACAAAATTTACCTTACTCCCAAGACTTTCTTCAACAAGATCTCTCTGCTCTATTTCACATATTTTCTTTCTGACTGTAATACCTTCTTTATCTTTGTAAATGTAAATACTACCTGCCATCTTTCAGTACTGACCTCATGTCTCACTTCCTTTCAATTTGTCAAGGCCACAGAGCTTTCTCTTTTTGAACTTCGGTACCACTTAAAGATATTGGTACTGTTTGCTTGGCCCTTGTCTAGAAAAGTTTTTATATTTTTCATATTCAAGCTTGTTAAGAATGGGGAATGCTTCAAATCATCTAGAACAGTGCTATGCACATAATAAGCACCTAAATATTTGTTAAAAATTGAGTGCTTGATGACTTGGTGCTGAAGCCAATTAATATTTAACCTTTGAGTAGTGTGGTGATTAAGTTATTATCTTGAGAAAAATGGTACCAAAGTTTGAATTGACTTTTTCTGATAAATTTCTAACAAATATCTGAAAAAATATATTACATATTCCTGAAGAGCACAACCTTTGGTCTATATAATTTAACACTCAATATAAAAATAACAAAACAAAAAATAAGTCCCTCAAACTGATTGATAAAATGACTAATATTAATAGAAGAGGCTTTCAAAAGTAAGAAAGTATGGTGTTAAAGTGGTAGGATTATTACTTAACTAATCAAAATTACATATACTATTTGCTGTATCTGGAAGGATAAACATCAAAATGTTAGCAATAGTATTTATAATATTATTAAATACAGTACATTTATAACAAAAATATTAAAACCTAAAATATAAACATTCAAAGCATTTTGCTTCTATTAGAAACCATACTGCTTTAAACTATAGTGAAATTACAAACTAAAATGTATTATGTGTTAATTTATTACCCTTTTCTCATTTGCTGCCTAATAAGTTCTCATCAATAACAGAAGATTGATATAAAGCCACTAAATGATAGTTACAAGTTTTTAGAAAACTAACTAGATTATAAGGCATGAATATCAAGTTAAGTTCTTAAATATGAAACATGCTGCACATTTTTAAGCCACAAATTCTTCACTCTTTCATTTTCTTAGAAAGTCAAAAGGAACTCTACTTCTAACAAATTAATTTCCAAAGAGATGGTATTACTTCTGAAGTGAAACAGGATATTAGGGTCTCTCATCTTACATTAATTTAAATAACTTTAGAAACAGTTTGGATTTTCTTTTTACCCATAGGTAAACAGAAATACTTAGTATAAGATTTTATCCATAGGTATCTTTATGGGTAAAAAGATATTCTACTTATACTAAGTATTTTACATAAAAATGTACTCTCTCTTATTCTAATATGCTTTAAATATACTTAATCTTATATATATTTATAGCTGCTCACCTTTCCACACATATGTGACTGACTTCTTATCCTACTTACCTGCGTACGATTAACTGGATTAAGATATTTCTCTTTCTTCGAAGTCTTTTAGAAACTTGCTGAATAGACTTCTGCCTTAACCTTCTTACAAGACAATCAGAGACTAACTGATATTTAAAAGAGTTTCCAAAGAGAGACGCCAAAGGGCAGTGACCTGTAATCCATCATGTCTCAGACCAGAGACCCTTAATCTCAGACAGCATTAAGCAGACGTTATAGATATTCTATTAGACATATCATCAGCTCCCTTTATATGTATATATTTCATGTATATAATATATATATATTTATAAAAAATATAAAATTATTTTAAACATCAGTGCTACCATTATCTTTAGCAAGAAGCCAAATTTGGGATATGAAAGCTGATTAGTTTCATCGAGTCATCAAAACATTCTAGAATCTGTTTCATTATTTAAGGGGAGGTTAGTGAATCCAGTGGCATAATGCCAGAAGGGTATAGAATTACAGTTGTGAATAACGGGGAAAAAATAAAGTAGTTATTTAGTAGTTAGACTATCTTGAGAAGTTACAGTAAAACGAATGAGATTGTGGGAGCAAAATTCTTACTACTAAGTTTACTAAATAAGCAGAGAGGTAATTTGAGGCTTATTTTACCTATGAACCATGTTCCGGGTATACCATACAGAAGGAAAAGATTCCTTCAGGAGAGATGTATAATTACGGTTTAAATCCCGTCCAGCTAAGGAACAGCGATAATTTCCTACAATCACACCATCTGGATTCAGCATGGGTACCACCTTGAAGACAAAAGTGTCCCGAAGCAACTGTGCATCACTTGAGTTTCCTAAAATATAATCTAGGAAGCCTTTCATGATCCAAGAGCTGTTGGTTTCCCCTGGATGGACCCTTGCAGTCAGAATCACAGCCTTCCGCTTTCTTGAGTCAGAGTTCTTCAAGGGGGTAGTGATTGTTAAAATATACACCATGTTCCTAGCAAGCGTGTGGCACAAAACACGTATTTTACAAAACTTTGACCGTACTGGATCATTATTGATGCCAGAAAGGTATTCTTGCAGGTTGGTGTAAGTGTATGGATAGCAATGAGCAAAGTAGCAGGTATCTTTGTTGTGTGGAAATTGAAATGTCCATGTAAGAGAGAAATAATGGCGCCCATCTTGGCCTGGGTTGTTCCTGTAATACTTGATTTGGTCTCCTATTCTCTGCCAGCCAATATGATGAGCCTTGGCCTCTTTTTCAGAATAGAACAGTGGGCGCATACCCCGACTGTAAAGACTAGCAGGTTTGGTGAAGTTGACAATAGTGAATCTGTAGACTATTCCTGCTCGCATATTAGTGACTTGGAAATAGTACCACTGGGTGTGTTTATTTGTGAAGAGGTCAGGGCGTACAGTCAGTTGGTATTCATATTCTGCCCTAATACACAAGAAAGAAAGGGAAAAAAGCACGTAAGAATGTAAAAATGACATTTTATAAAAAACGAATGTAAAATTTTTAGTTAAATAAGGAAAATTATTTTATTTTTACTCATTCACAGAAAGCTTTGTTAGAAAACAATGTAAAAGATAAAAGTTTTGAAATTTTCCCTTTTATTGGATGAGAAACTGCTTCTATGCTAATTCTAAATCCTTTGTATTCCTTGGTAATTCAAGAGAGCACATAAAAACATAGGTGTTTGATAAAAGTTTATATATTTCAACCTAATTATATTTTCTATATAAGAAATTATTAAAGAGTTACCAAAACTGAAGCAAAGTCCAACATTTCTTTTTTCACTTCAGACATACGTATCTATTACAGTCTAAAACTAGGGATATAAAATAACTATCACTGAGAGATTTAAACACAGATAAATTAATATGATCACATAGATTACATAATTTGAACTATTTGAGAACAAGAACTGCATTTGATAACGATTTACATCCCTCTACTTAGTCATTGGAGATGCTTAAATAAAGGCAAAAATAATAATTTCACTGGAATATTATTTATATACATAACAATATTACCTGGTTAGTCATGACTATTTTTCTCTATCAAGTAACTTTCTATTCTATCAGCACTCTGCACTTAGCATGTAATGTGTATGTGTACAGTTGTAAATAATCACCTAGGAATAGGTAAAATAATTGTTGCAAAACCTTGATAGCTGTCGAGTCTAGGTGATAGGTATGTGGCAGTGAACGCAGAATTGTACTATTTTCTGTACTTAAGTGTATGTTTAAAGATTTCCATAATATTTTTAAATAAAATAATGCCCTTGGGATATTCTATGGAACACTCATCCCAAGAACTATTTCAATACAAAGTTTGAGAAGCACTGTGTGTGTGACCATTTATATTACTATACTGAAAATGTACAGTACAGAAGCCTTCTTAACTTTACACCTCATAGTTCTCAAAATTATTTGAACTCAGAATCTTTTATACTCCCCTCCTCCAAAATAATTTCTAATTATTAATAGTATCTATACTTCAAGGAAGTACAGTTTCATAATAGATACTAAGAACTTTAATGTACTTGATACAGAAAATGGTAAATAGTTGATGGTCTAGCTCCTTAAATAAAAATAATTAGAACCTACACTTTGACTACCTTCTGTAGATTACCACTCTCAAACCTTGCTTCAAACATCAAAGTATTGTCACGGTAATCCACAGGTTGCTTCAAAGGTGTTCGGTTACCCCCAACTCGGGAATACACAAAACAGGGCTCTTTGTAAGCTGATGAGAGAAGAAGATCATAAAGATGTCAAGGCACACCTAAAGTAAGAAGGTTATTCTGCACAGAGTTTGGAGCAATAGTACAAGTATAAGGATTGTAAATTTTCAAGTAACTGGACACTAATTTATATAGACATGTTGAAACAACAGAGTCTAAGAGTATTTAGACTAGAAAAAACAATGCCTAAAATAAATTTGTATATTTCTTACATTACATTAAAAATACTCATTTGGCCAGGTGCAGTGGGTCATGTCTGTAATCCTAACATTTTGGGAAGCCAAGGCAGGCAAATTGCCTGAGCTCAGGAGTTCAAGATCACCCTGGGCAACATGGTGAAATGCTGTCTCTACTAAAAATACAAAAAAAAAAAAATTAGCCAGGTGTGGTGGCATGTGCCTGTAGTCCCAGCTACCCAGGAGGCTGAGGCAGGAGAATCGCTTGAACCTGGTAGGCAGAGGTTGCAGTGAGCAGAGATCGCATCACTACACTTGACCCTGGGCGACAGAGTGAGACTTGGTCTCAAAAAAAAAAAAAAAAAAAAAAAAAAATTCACTCTGTTTCTAGTCATGATGAAGTAATTGGTTCTGAACTTGCCCCTTCACCGTAAATGACTATAAAACTGGATAAAGGATATGAGCTGTTTTCATGCATTTGGACAACAAATAGAACAACTATGTAGGATATCTGAAAGATCAAGACATGATGTGAGCCTATGTTGAGCCCTGGCTTGCTGCATAGAGATACTTGCTGGACTACAGCCCAGGGAGGTGGCATTTTAGAACAGTATGACAGTCTTGAGCTGAAGAGGGAAGATTGTTGCTTGGGGCTGCTGAAATTTGTGGGTCAGGACACCAGGGAAAAGAAAGCTACATAGAGAACCTCAACAGTCTACACAGTGGTTTCCCAGTCCTTGGATGAGGGATTGGCTACCAGTCAAAAGATGAGACTAAGAAAGACGCAAGAGAGCACTACTGTGGGCTGAGATGCCAGAGGACATACACTTCTGGGATATATTAGAATTCCAACTAATCCAGAGTGGGAAGATTTTATGGAATACCTTAGGCATTCAACAGTGACTCCAGAAAGGCTGTATCTTAGGCATAAGTACCATATTCAAGAGTAAAGGTCACGACGTAGCACTGGGGATAAAATGAAAACAGACCTGCCCCTATACAAAATCAAAGCAAGCCTGAAAGAAGCAAAATGATCTCCCAGCAATTTAATTGCCAGAAAGAACAAAATTCAACATAATGTTTAAAAGAACATAATACAGGACGGATGCAGTGGTTCATACCTGTAATCTTAGCATTTTGGGAGGCTAAGGAGGGTGGATCACCTGAGGTCAAGAGTTTGAGACCAACCTGGCCAACATAGTGAAAACCCATCTCTACTAAAAATACAAAAATTAGCCGGTGTAGTGGTGCATGCCTGTAGTCCCAGCTACTCAAGACGCTGAGGCAAGAGAATTGCTCGAACCCAGGAGGTGGAGGTTGCAGTGAGCTGAGAATGTGCCACTGTACTCCAGCCCAGGTGACAGAGCAAGACTCCATCTCAAAATGAATAAATAAATAAATAATAAATAAAAGAATATAATACAGACTCCCTAAAACATATCTTTTACAATGTTCTACATATGATAAAAACATAAGGCATTCAGAGAAGCAGGAAAATGTGATCCATGAATACATATAAAATTCAGACTCCAAGATAATGCACATGTTGGAATTAACAGAGAAGGACTTTGAATATATATTCAAAGACAAAAATGAAAATATAAGAGATCATGAGAAAATAGATAAGAAATCTCAAAAAAGAAAAAAACTAAAAAGAACCAAATGAAAATTCTAGAAATAAAACTACAATAACTGAAGGATTTAACAAATGACACAGAGACACAAAGTGAGCACATGTTGGAAAAATGGTGCTGACAGACTTGCTCAACACAAACCTTTAATTTGTTTAAAAAACAAACAAACAAACAAAACCCCCAAAAACATAGTATCTGTGAAGCACAATAAAGCAAAGCACAATCACCCAAGGTATGCCTATATCATTGTTTCCTATACAGATATTCTTCAATTTACATTAGGGTTACCTCTCAATAAACCAATTTTAAGCTGAAAATATCATAAATCAAAGGTGCATTTTCAACTTGTGATATTTTCAGCTCATGATGGATTTATTTGGGCATAACTTCATTGTAAGTCAAGGAGGGTATTGAATATGTATCACTTTTACACCATTGTAAAGCTGGAAAATCATAAGTCAAACCATCATAAGTAGGAACCATCTGTATGTAATGTGAAGATATAATTATTCCATACTATATTCATAAATCATAACATTTTGTATGCCATAAATATATACAACTATAATTTGCCAATTTATAATTGAAAATTTTAAAAAGAAAAAAAGAGTTAAAGCTTGCAAAAGAAAAAATCAGTGAACTTGAAAACAAATACAAATTGTCCAAACTGAAAGATAGAGAGGGAAAAAAGTGGACAAATATCCAGCGACATGTGGGGACGTATCTAGAATCCAACATACGTATAATTGGAATTCTAAAAAACATGAAAGAGTGGTATGGAAAAACTATGTGAAGAAATAATGGCTGAAATTTTCTCAAATTTTGGTGCAAAACCCCTACTAAGCTATGGATCCAAGAAGTTCAGCAAACTCCAAGCAGGATAAATATTAAGATAACCAAATCTAGGCACACCATAGTCAAATTGCTGAAGACAGCCAGAGAGAAAAAGACACATTACATACAGATGGTTTCCTACTTATGATGGGACTTATGATTTTCCAGCTTTACAATGGTGTAAAAGTGATACATATTCAATACCCTCCTTGACTTACAATGAAGTTATACCCAAATAAATCCATCATGAGCTGAAAATATCACAAGTTGAGAATACACCTTTGATTTATGGTATTTTCAGCTTAAAATTGGTTTATTGAGAGGTAACCCTAATGTAAATTGAAGAATATCTGTATAGGAAACAATGATATAGGCATACCTTGGGTGATTGTGCTTTGCTTTATTGTGCTTCACAGATACTATGTTTTTTTTGTTTTTGTTTTTGTTGTTGTTGTTTTTAAACAAATTAAAGGTTTGTGTTAGCAAGTCTATCAGCACCATTTTTCTAACATGTGCTCACTTTGTGTCTCTGTGTCATATTTTGGTAATCACAACACTGAAAACTTCTTCATTATTATGATATCTATTATGGGTGATCTTTGATGTTACTGTTGTAATTGTTTTGGGCCACCATGAACTGCACCCATATAAAATGGTGAACTTAAGTGCTGTGTGTTCTGACTACTCTACCACCACCCATTCCCCCATCTCTCTCCCCTTCCTTGGGCCTTCCTATTCCCTGAGACATAACACTATTGAAATTAGGCCAATTAATAATCCTACAATGGCCTCCATGTGTTCAGGTGGAGAGTCACACATCTCTATCTTTAAATCGAGAGCCAAAAATGATTACGCTTAGTGAGGAAGGCATGTCAAAAGCTAAGATAGGCCAAAAGCTAGGCCTTTTGTGTCAGTTAACCAGGTTGTGAATGCAAAGAAAAATATTCTTTTTTTTTTTTTTTTTGAGGCAGAGTCTCGCTCTGTTGCCCAGGCTGGAGTGCAGTGGCCGGATCTCAGCTCACTGCAAGCTCCGCCTCCCAGGTTTACACCATTCTCCTGCCTCAGCCTCCCGAGTAGCTGGGACTACAGGCGTCCCCCACCTCGCCTGGCTATTTTTTTGTATTTTTTAGTAGATACAGGGTTTCACCGGGTTAGCCAGGATGGTCTCGATCTCCTGACCTCGTGATCCGCCCGCCTCGGCCACCCAAAGTGCTGGGATTACAGGCTTCAGCCACCGCACCCGGCTGAAAAATATTCTTGGAGGAGACTAAAAGTGCTACTCCAGTGAACACACAGATGATTTAAAAAAACAAAACAAAACAACAAAAAAACAGTCTTATTGCTGATATGGAAAAAGCTTGCTGGTCTGGGTCAAACCAGCCATAACATTCCTTTAAGCCAAAGCCTAATCCGGAGGAAGGCCCTAATTCTCTTCAATTCTATGAGGGCAGAGACAGGTAAGGAAGCTGCAGAAGAAAAGTTTGAAGCTAGCAGAGGTTGCTTCATGAGGTTTAAGTAAAGAAGCCATATTAATAACATGAAAGTACAAGGTTAAACAGCAAGCGATGACGCAGAAACTTCAGCAAGTTATCCATCTCTAGCTAACATAACTGATGAAGGTAGCTACACTAAACAACAGCTTTCAATGTAGACAAACAGCCTTCTGTTGGAAGAAGATGACATCTAGGACTTTCCTAGCTAGAGAAGAGAAGTCAATACACTGCTTCAGAGCTTCAAAGACAGACTGACTGTCCTCTTAGGGGTGAATGCGGCTGGTGACTTTAAGTGGAAGCCAAAGATCATTTACCATTCTGAAAATCCTAGGGCCCTTAAGAATTATGCTAAATCTATTCTGCCTGTGCTCTATAAAGAAAACAACAAAATCTAGATAACACCACATCTGTTTACAGCATGGTTTACCAAATATTTTAAGCCCATTATTGAGACTGACTGCTCAGAAAAAAGATTCCTTTTAAAATATTACAGCTTATTGACAATGCATCTAGTCACCCAAGAGCTCTGATGGAGATGTACAGGAGACAAACCTTGTTTTCATGCCTGTTAACACAACAACCATTCTGCAGCCCATGGATCAGGAAGTAATTTCAACTTTCAAGTATTATTATTTAAGAAATAGATTTTGTAAGGCCTAGAGAATTACTATTCCTCTGATGGATCTAGGCAAAGTAAATTGAAAACCTTCTGGAAAGCATTTTCCATTCTAGATGCCATTCAGAACATTAGTGATCCATGAGAGGAGGCAAAAATACCAATATTAACAGGAGTTTAGGAGAAGTTGATTTCATTCCTTATGGATAACTTTGAGGGCTACACAACTTCATTGGAGGAAGTAACTGC